ATTTGTGTATATATATATACACACACACCACATCTTTATCCTACTTGGATCCTTTCTAATAGACCTTGGACCCTTGTGGCTCTATGTGTTTTGCCCCTCTCCCACATCTATGTCTCACATAGTCAGAAACATATTTCTCTGTTGGCAATTCAGTTCTGATGTGTTTTGCCATGTTGCTTCACCTTGATGCCCACCTTGATCCCTTCTATTTCAGTGGATAATTTCCACTGTATATTAGCTTTTCACTAAAATGTGTTCCCTTTGTGTGAAGAATATGCCCCAGAATATTCTTTTGTACGTGTTTTCATCAGAACATTTGTGGGTCATTTAACTAGGTAAATCAGAATCGGATAAGATTGGGATGCTTGTTTGTGTACTCAGGTTACTCCCCATTGCTCTCCTCCAGTGAATCTCTTGCAAAATGATCAGCATTCTAAAAATACATATCTGGGATTTTAAAAACACATGCGTCAAAATCTAGATTTCTTCTTCCTACTGGAGAATTAACCATTTGTGCTTCTCTGGAAAATCTACTGAGATGCCACAGAAGCTTTCCTGAGCTCAGCGAACCCTCAACACCTTTGTGGTTTGCCCAGACTTCAGTCACATCCATACCAGATACTGCTGCGAGGTCTGGAGCAGCGGCAGCCATGGTGTGACTGTCCTGCCATGCTTTCTCATTGTGGATGTCAGCATTCTGGATGGAATATTGAATTATTTTTTGCTTTAGAATCGTTTAATCCTTAGTAACGTATTTTGCTTGATTTTATGTCAATGCACATGCATCAACATACACCACAAATTACTTCAGGCATCTCGTTTATGTTACTGAAGCCTGCCTCCTCCTCCCTTTGCCTGCGTAGATGGAGCAGGACTCATTGTTGTGAACGCCATACAGACAGGCCTTATAAAGCACTGTCTGCTTATCTGCCTCTATCTGCTATGGACTCACATCTGAGCATTAACTGTACCAGGTCAGTGGAAGAGTGGCAGCAAGGGACTCAATGGTATTTGATGGGCCAAATTTTAATCCTTCCTTTAGCTACACTCTCACTAAAAAGCAGGCATGTCCATTTCTTATTTGATGGAAAGCAAAAAGAACCCATTTGAGTAACTGTTTCCATGAGCTTTCTCTGCTTGATCTCTCTGTGTAGGTGGTCAGTTTGTGTGGCCTGATCATTTCTTCCTACTGTTTTCCAGATTTCAGCCACAAAAGGAGATATTCTTTAAAGAAACATTTAATCAAAAAGACTAAGTACTCTGTCAGCTTCCAAAAGCCTGTTTATTTAAAGATTTAATCATTTCATCCTCCTTTCCAGATTGTAGCCTTCTAATGGTTGCTTATGTATCAGTTATGGTTTCAAATTATTTCTTCATCATGAATGACTGGGTCAGAGCACAAGCAGAGATTGGCATTATTAATAAATGGTCTACACCAGGGATTAGTAACCTAAGGCCTGTGGACCAAATTCAGCTTGCTACCTGTTTTTTTATGGCTTGCAAATTAGGAATAACCACGGTTATTCCCATTGTTTGTACAGATACATATGTGCTATCAATTTGGTGATAGGGAATACTAATTTTGAACCCCAATTAAGTGAAATGTTGTCTCCCCGGAAAAAGAATCCTTTTCTTTTCACTGGTAGATCTATATTATAAAAACTTTACCCTGATATTGTTATATTTTGAATTTCATCAATTAATTGGTAGAAATTTGGTTTTTTTCTTTGTTATGTAAGTATGTACATTGTATCTTCAGTTTTGCCTCGTGGCCCACAAAACCTAAAATATTTACTATCTGTCTCTCTACAGAAAAAGGCTGTGAACCCCTGGTCTATGCCAATTGCCAGCAACAAACCTGAGAACTGACTAGAGGGAAAGGAATATTGAGCATCTGCTATATTACCAAGCAGTAATTTACACGCGTTCCACTTATCCTCAAACAAATCTAAGAGGACATCTGCTTTGTGCCCATTTTATAGGTGAGGAAGCTGAGGCTCCAAGAAGTTGATAGAAAATATGCAATGGAAATTAAATTCAGAATCTGGTTTATCTATCTCCCAAGCCTGTGCTCTTTCTCCTAAATCATCCAAGTATGGTGCTAATCACACTGTTGATCAAACTGTGCACCCAGAGTTAAAAAGCTGCATCCACTGACCTCCTTCCTCCCCACCATTCTCACAAACTCTGCCATCATGAGCAGCCAGCCACTCATAACAGCACCTCGTGGTGCACAAGATGACAAGGGAGATGTATGTGCTCGGTGTTTCCCTGAGGAAAGCTAACTCTGGTTTCTAAAAGCACACAGTAACCAGCAAGGATGTAACTTTGATTATTGACATGCTTTAATTGAGCATAAGCCTGTCCATACATTGTGATTCATTGTGATTCATTATGGCCCTAGAGGAGACTGCTTGGAAGCCTGCTCTGCGGTAGGTGGTGCTCTGGGAAGTGCTTGGTATTGTTGAGCCGCTTGGAGACAGACAAGCCCAGCATGCTCTAGGAACACAGTGTGCTTACTGGATGTCTTTTCAATATCCTAAGTCCCAGGATACACTAGCCATTCTCCACTGGATGACTTGCTAAGCCTTAGCTCACTGCTAAATTCAGCCACTCGACTCAGGAAAATTCCATCTGACCTCATGCACATACATATATCTTGACCCAAAAAACTTTCAGTACAAGACAGAAATCTGCCTAGCAAATCTTCACCTGTTCTTTTGGGGTTTCTTGTTTCATCCTTTTCCCTAAAATACGATGGGTGACTCAGTAGTAGTCCCAGCATCTTCTAAAAATAAGTGCCACTTCAAACAAAACTCCTGCTATCATTAACACCACCAGTAGACAAGTGTCAAATCTTGCACTGATTTTACAGGAAGCTTGAGAATGACTTCTTTTTAATTTTTTATTTTATTTTATTACGTTATGTTAATCACCATACATCACATCATTAGTTTTTGATGTAGTGTTCCATGATTCATTGTTTGCGTATAACATCCAGTTCTCCATTCAATACGTGCTGTCTTTAATACCCATCACCAGACTAACCCATCCCCCCACCCCCCCTCCCCTCTAGAACCCTCAGTTTGTTTCTCAGAGTCCATAGTCTCTATTTCCTTTTTAAATTACATAGACAACAGACACTTATTATAGAAAAAATTAGAAAATATAAATGAGCAAAAAGAAGAAACAAAGAATTACTAACAGGCCCATTTAAGTTAAAGATTACACTTTGGGGGATGCCTGGGGTGGCTCAGTCTGTTAAGCTCCTGCCTTCGGCTCAGGTCATGATCTCAGAGTCCTGGGATCGAGCCCCATGTCAGGCTCCCTGCTCAGCCGGGAGTCTGCTTCTCTCTCTGCCCCTCCCCCTGCTCATGCTTTCTCTCTCTCTCTCTCAAATAAATAAATAAAGACCTTCTTAAAAATTAAAAAAAAAAGATTACACTTTGGAATATACCCCTCCAGTGTGTTTTCTGCACGTGCTTATTAGTGTACGTGTAGTACACAGTATGTAGGCAAAAGTGGGATCATATTGAACATACTATTTTATAACCTGCACTTAATATTGAGCAGGACTCTGAAAAAAAAAAAAAGAATAAATCAGGTTTTTAAGTTAATTTGACATTACCAAGGTTTATAAAAAGAGTGAGGAAAAGTCAAAGTCAATCCCCAGGATTTATGAACATGTAATTAATTCAAAGCCAAGAGGCAAGAATTACAGAATTACCACTAAGCTAGAAAATCTGTTGTAATCTGAAGAATTACTATGGGAAGGAAAGAAAAGATGAAGAGGGAAAAGAAAATAATATTTATTATCTCCCTACCATAAGCCATCACATGCATTAGACATTTTTATAGCTAAGGAGGGGCTAAAGGAAGAGAGATATTAAACTGAGATACACGTGAACTGCAGAGCCGTGGGATACAACATCCAAACCCTCCTGGGGGTTAGCAAAGTACACGGGTTTTGAATCAAAATTTGACAGAACAGATAAAAATTTATTTTGAAAGTAGATATATTATAGATAAGTTAGATCTAAAGCATTTTTATAATGTGCTAGCACTGTGCTTCTCACCCAGGATAATTTGGTTTTTCTCCCAGGGGACATTAGGCAATGTATGGAGACATTTGCACTTGCCACAACTCGGGGTGCGGGGTCCTGGCATCCAATGCATAGGGGCCAGCGATGCTGGCCAACATACAGGACGTCCTCACAACAAAGAATTTTCCAGCCCAAGTTGTCTATGTGCTCAGGTTCAGAACCGCTGCCTGGGGGGACCCATACTGCTTAGGAGAATCATAGTACCACTCATTTTTTTAAATCCAGAATTAAAGAGCCAAGAGCCAGAGACCTAATGGTCTCTATATTCTCCCTACATCTGGCAACTCCAGATCTTTTGGCAGAAAGCAGTCCCTCCTCCCAAATTTTGCAGGTAAGAACAAAATACATATGAAAGTATGTATGGAGTAAGATAATAGGTGAGATTTGATGAGGTGCAAATCAAACAAGTGCTGATAGATAAACATAATTGGTGAAAGCATCTGTGTCTGCTTCTCAAGTCCATCTAGAGCAGAGGACACTCTCACCTACAGGGGCTCTCAGAGAAGAGTGTAGGTTTGTCAAGAGGTGACATGAGTTCAGCTATTAAACAGTTCGTAGGGCTCCTGGTTGGAGAAGAGAGACTCCACCTCCTTCCAGAAGATGTGCAGATCATAGGGAGCTCATGACAAGGCTAGCCTGGGCTCTGAGTGGGAACCTGGACAGTGCCATCTCCTGAGGCTTAACTTGGGGCATCCACTTGTGCCCCTCTAATCATTCACACCAGTGGGAATAGTCTCATCTCTAGTTAGCATCTACAGTAATAGTGACTGTTTAAATACAAGACCAGGAGCTCAGTCTTTGGTATGGCTGAATTATGTCCCACCAAATTCATACATTGAAGCCCTAACCACCAGGACATCAGAACATGACTGTATCTGGAGGTAGGGCCTTTAAAGAGGTAATTAAGGTAAAATGAGATCATGTGGGTGGTCCCTAATCCAATATGACTGGTGTCCTTATATTAAGGAGAGATTTAGACACAAATGTGCACAGAAAGTAGACCATGTAAAGACCCGGGGAGCAAACAGCTACCTACAAGCCAAGGAGAGAGACTTCCTGAAGACCTGTAGCCCCCAGAAGTGTGAGAAAATAAATTTCTGTTGTTTAAGCCACCGGTCTGTGGTACTCTATTATGGCAGCATTACAAAAATAATCCAGGCCTTCTCTCAGGGCCTCTCCTTCTGTGCTCCTCGTTCTCAGTGGGCGATAAATGCAGAACACATATCTCGCTCCAGAGGTGACGACTGCAATTCCCCCTCCTCCTAACCCTGTCCTCAATTTGGAATTTGCATATAAAAACAAAATATAACAAAGGATAACTATTGAGTAATTCTGGCCTATGCCTTCACCAAGAGAAGAGATCCCCTTCCCCTGGCGAGCGTGCATGTGCACAAACACACACACAGAGCCAGCTTAAAAAAATAGCCAGTGGGGGCGCCTGGGTGGCTCAGTTGGTTAGGCGACTGCCTTCGGCTCAGGTCACGATCCTGGAGTCCCGGGATCGAGTCCCACATCGGGCTCCCTT